CAGGCAGAGTGAATGAATTCTTGTTGCGAGAGATATTTACAAGACTGCTGTGTACACTATCTACATTGATTCCGACGGTGGGTTCCAATTCCTTAAGTACATGTTCGCAGGTAGTCACATGTACTTCTTCCAAAAATCCGAGGTAGCTGCGGTGGGTTCTGTCTTTGCAGACAGCTGGGGTTCATCCTTCCCAGCCAGAGTCGATTCCTCGATGTTCGCAATCTCCTCGATTCTCGCAGTGTTGGCGCTCATGGCTTTCGTGGACGGGGGCGTGTCGTCCTCGCTATCCGTAAGCTCGACTTGAATAACCCGTGTTTTCTTAGCCTTCTTGGCCGCGGGGTTACCACTTCCTCCTTGTGCCTTCTTAGCGCCATCCCCTTGGGTCTTCGGCCGCTTGTCCGCATTTTTGGCCAACTTATAGCAATCATCTGTGTTATGAGTCTTCGACTTGCAGATGACGCAATACTTCTTTGCCTCTGTCGAGGCGGCCTCAGCGTCCCTTGCCTTGCCTTTGCCTTTGCCCTTCGATTTCGACTTTTCCGCCGAATCGATGTCCATGGGAACAGCGCCGCCGTTATCCGAGCCACTGTTCTTGAATACCGAGCCTCGTGCCTTCTCCGGGTTGACGATCTTGTTGATGTTGAGCAAGATGTCGAGGAACAATGTCCAATCCTTTGGCAAGGTGGACTCGTCCTTTCCGGCCAACACCAACCGCATGTCACGAGGTATAACCTCCCGGAGTTTGTCGATGAGGAGACTATCGTCATACTCCGTGAGACGTCCGAGGGTGCGGAACCTCTCAGCGTACTTCACAAAGTCCTTCGAGGCCAGATCCTTATTGGTAAACAGTGCCGTGATCTCCTTCTTTGCACCCTCCTTGTCGTCACGTTGCCCGTATATCTGGGCTAGTTCCGCCACAAATGCCTTCCAGGTGCCCAGATCCTTTCCTTCCCGCATTTTCACATAGTAGCTCTTCATGTACTGATGAGCTGGTCCTTGCAACTTCGAGAGGGCCGTGACGATTCGCTGTTTGTCCGTGGCCACTCCCTCATGCTCGCACCACAGTACGATCAGGTCCAGCCATTCCTCAAGCTTGGTCTTATCCTCACTGCCCTTGAAGGCCGGAGGCTCCCCAATCTTAGGTTGACGGGAATGACCACTACCTGTTGACGCAGGTAGCGCATCGACTTGTCGCTTGTATGAATCAACTAGCGCCTGCTGATTCTGGACCGTGATATGCAGGGATTCCACCTCTCGAAGGAGGCTCTGAAGGTATCCGTCGTAGTGCCTGCTTATTTCTAAGGTCAGGCGACCAATCCAGTCTCTGACTCGTCCAGTGGTTGATTCTGCAGCATTCGCAGTAACTGTTTGCAGCAGAGCTGCTTGTTCGTCAGAGACGTTCACGTTCTGGAAGATTGCATTGCGCCACTCTTCTTCCGTGGCGATAGCGAATGCTTCAGTCGGAACGAAGGGGATGTATGGGGCCATTTCTTATAGCTTGATTAGCCCGTATTCACTTATGATTGAAAGAAAAAAGTGAAGTGAAGGAGATCTCCTCCTCATGCCATATAAGCCAATTATGCCAGAAAGATTGCCAATCTTTATTCCACTATCTACACTTCGTATTTGAAGGTGATGTTTAGGCTAGCCAACTCATTACAAATCTCCGGCAGGCGACTGCTTAAGTCTTCGAAGGAGACATGCCCGATCCTTTTCAGGTCGCGCTTGATAACTCTCCAGTGCCTGTTGGTAAGCCGACGCGCCTTCTTCTCCAGCCCATGATACAACTCGTCAAACCCATCGCCCATCCTCCCGACTTTCGCCACAACTTCTGGCTCCAAGCTCCCTTCTTCCTTTTCCATTCGAGCGAATACCGGTTCCAGCCTGTCGGCTGTGGCGGCAAACATTTCGTTGTACTCGG